CAGCATTGTAACGAAAAATAAATCACGAAACACCGTCGGAGTCCTTGTGAAAACTGTTATCATCGAACAATTAAATTATGGTCGCAAATAAATGTTATTCAGAAAATCAAACTGGAACTATACGATTACAGAAAACAACGTTCAAGGTCTGAATTTACAGGCACCCGAAAGCTCTAGGTGTAAGCATTGAACGGGCTGCCAAGACTGGCAAACAGCCATTTTACTAGCTGAAGACTCGCCAGCAGAACTGGTGCTGTCGAACAGCTCAACAGGTTAGTTAGTTAGATAAAGGGCAATGGTTAGGTTAGCCGATCTCCCATCCGACTGCAGGCAACGCTCAGTGAGCTTAATTTTACGTGTTTAACACCGCCTATGAGACTCACGACATCCACGTATGCCGGAATTATAAGCGATATAATTGCCACTGAATTCTTTCGGCAACCATTCATCTATAAGCCCCCTGCATCCATCTTAAACAAATGCGTTTTTGTCAGTATCTAGGTGTCTACTGTATTCGATCTAAAGTTTTTTTCCTCAAAGTAGTCAAGTTGTAAGAGGCCTTTTTTCTTTTTTTTAAACATAGTGTCAGTGTTTTCTTTTGACCACTTATATTGTTCGACCACTAAGCTCTGCATCGATTATCAGAGCTTTTTCAGATGCAATCATTACACATTAGATAGTGAAATTCTTCTGAACCTACGATTCTCCAGGCTTTGAACTGGATCCAAACTATTACGGAAAAAATCGATAGACCGGTACTGGCACAACTGTACGCAGTAAAATATACAAACACCAAGAAGTTTGAGCGTTCTTTTGGTCGTCATCCATGAACATTCAAATGACAACACTCAACGACAGCTGTTTTGGTATGTCATCGAACAGGGATCACAAGAGGTCGGGAAATGCAGCAAAAATACAGCAACCAGTTTCCCGTTCCGATCACGAATCATTTGCTTAACATTGCTTCTTTTTGAACTAACCGCTAAACGTGAAATGTTCTTTCATGTCGATATGACAAGCGCTGTTTGCACTAAGTAGTATACCTGAGAAAATACTCTGATTTTTTTTCAGTAGTACTTCTTGAATTCTTTGTGGATAACGAAGGTTCCCAAATACTCAGAAACAAATAAATGAAACAACAGCCATGTTTTAGCAATAATTTAGGCATCTTATACTGTTATTGAAATTAACAGTATATAACTTGGAATCTTTTATTTTTTTGGAAATTTTTTAAAATTCGCAACATTAGCAGAAACAACTGCCTAGATTTATTAATATATAAACATAGATCGTCGAATAAATAATGTTACGAAAAGATGAATTAGCAGTGTTTAGGACACCATAAATTCTAAAATGTCACAACAAGAACATTTCGGAGTTGGTGCTGTTGTTGTCGCCGTTGTTTTTGTAGTTGTTGTCCTTATCATTCATCCTGAACCTTAATGCTTGCCTATTTTTTGCTGCTGGAAATCTGCGCATGCTCCTCTGACTTATGCTTCTCTTCCTCTTGTTTCTTCTGTAAAAAGGGAACATACAGAATCTCAGTATTGATAATATTAAAAGGTATAACGTAAGGAGCTAACGAATTACAGTCAAATCATCGATATTTCATTTACATACATCATATGAACTTATTCAAGGAGAAAAACTTACATAATACCAGTAAACACCTCCAAGTGCAGCGCCAGCTAAAACAACGAAAAGTAAACCCTTTCCGTTTCCTCCCTGCAACAAAATCAGTAGCATAATATATATCAAGTGCGTTTAATGCTTCATCTTAAGAACTACTTTTACTTTTATCAGATCATTGACTGCTATTCAAAGCAGCTTTTCATCTTTTTTTTTTTTTTCTGATTGACTTCTATAAACATCAGAAATACAATTCCAAACTTTACTTCATTTTTCTTCTCAGCAGTAATCGTCATCTTTTAAGCAGCTATAATTACTTATACTGATTTCTAACTGAATAAATATCATATCCTAAATTTTTTTTTTTGTATTGTTTTCAGTTTCAGCATCTTCAAACAAGAGATTACGAGAAGAAAAAAACCTTATGATCTTTAGATGGCTCTGGGTTAAATTTTGGTGGTGGTGGTTTCGAAGCTCCAGCCGCGTTAGCATCAGCGGCCATGAACCGGGTTGTTGTTAATTTTGGTTTCAGCGCTGGAGCTCTGGTCAAATATAATGCACAATGTCGAAGAAGCGGCAGCATTTCTTTCTGTTTTTTTCTTGGCTTACAGCTTCACCTAGAATTACAGATTGTAGATCACGAGGAAGAAAAGTGTAACAATTTCTCTTACGATAACGCCAATATTATTATGTAAGGAAACAGAATCATCGATAATAAGACAATAGTACGAAGGGTAAGTGTAGGAAAAAAGAAACCAACTCCAATTTTATGTATAAATTTTTTTTCTTTTTTTGGAAAAGGAGGCTGCAAAATTAATTTCATAAGGAAAAATTCCAATGTTTTTTAAGGATAAATATTTGATGTAACACTGATTTAGAAGAAAAAAAAAAAGGGGGGGTTCTCTCACAGGTTTAATTCTTTTTTACTTAGAAAACAGTAAAATAGGTTTTGGGTTTATACAACAACAACAACAACAACAAACATTCCAAAAAACAAAACTAAAGTTTAAATCCTAACCAAACAAGCATCAACCCTTTTCTACATGTCAACCGTTAACTTTTTGAGAAGCATTACCATACAAAGATTCCAATTAAAAAACTACTTTTCATGTGTAACGAAAAAAAAATATTGAATAAAGCACTAATGAGCACTTTTGCCTGAAATCTTTAAACAGAACAAATCTGAAAATTCAAACTGAACACTGTCTGTTACAAAAAGCCTCTAAGTTGATAGTAGAAGAAAAAAAGAAGCAGAATAAAGAACAAAATACAAGAAATAATTCTATCAGAAAAACTTAAGCTAAGAAGATTTTTGCTGGACAAATATGCATCATACCCTTTTGCTGCAATTCGGTAAATTCTTTGCTGCAGTACCTCAGTTCAGTTTTAAAAAAAAGACACTGAAGTGTTTGGTAATAACATCAGATTGAAGTGCTGTTCAAAATTTTTCCCTCAAATCTAAGGTTAAATTTAAGTTAGCCATTTTATCCTTGAACTGCCTTTTAATTTATCCTTTAATCCTACTGCTAAAAAATCTCTAGAATTTAAATTCCACAATATTTTATGTTTCGGAAAAAATTTGTTTTTATTTTCTTGCTTTTAAAATATATTAAATTTGTATAATACATTTGCAGTTAACTATAATCTATGTTGGTCGACAAATAACTATACTGAAATTGTTGCAAAAAAAAAGAAAAAATTAAACGATTATTTAGCATAAACGATCAGTTAAATGAGTAAATTTCAATAAGTGTTTACAAAACTATATTGAATAAACGTCCTTTGCTTAGATTGGTAGTACGCAAGTCACTATTCTTATTGTATTACTGCTAAAAAATCTCTTTTTTTAATGGGATTTTTAAACAGCTTTAAATTTTACAGCTGTTAATCAACATCACTCAACAAGCTTTAAATATCTGTCAAGAAAAAACTAGGTAACTAAATTTTTTTGAAGATTTAATCTTAGTTGTAAAGTAATTTGACGATAACTAACAAAAAACGTATGGAAAATTCGTCACATTACTGTTGGCTTATTAGGAACAATAAATATCTGCGGTCACTCATCGATGTTCACATCTGTAGAGATCGGTTATATAGGTTAAGAATGAACAGTATCAGTTGTAAAGTACAGTATCCTACAAAACAGTAGAATGATCTTATTGTCTTTTTTTATTTACAGCAATAATACTTTAAAGAATACTGCAGCAACTAAGAAATTTAAAACATATCTTCCTTCCTCTTATCTTTTTTTTTTCTTTTAGTACCATTAACTTACAGAGACACAGATAAAGCTGAAAAATGCCAAATCAGGTTAGCATAACCACAAACATCTCATATCAAAGCGCAGCAGCACTCAATAAATACCCAGAATAAAAAGTTAAACAATAAAAAATCAGTTAAACCTAATTTAGCATTGTAAAATTAGTAGCTAATTTTTAGCCTTATCAACTGAAATCATAAAACTTGTTGAGACTCTTATCGAAAACGAATACAATTTTATATTTGGACAAAGTAGATTTGATGTAAAAATTGAGAACTGCTTATTCGGTTTGTAAATTTATAACTAAGTTTTTTCTTTTTGTTTTCTTACACTTAGAACTGAATGTTATTAAATACAGCAAAAAATAGCTGAAACAAAAAACAACATAGAAACAAAAAAAA